GTCCTTTGTCTGCACCAGTAGAGACACCAGTCCTTTGTCTGCACCAGTAGAGACACCAGTCATCTGTCTCTTCAAGTAGAGACACCAGTCCTTTGTCTGCACCAGTAGAGACACCAGTCCTCTGTCTCCTCCAGTAGAGACACCAGTCCTCTGTCTCCTCCAGTAGAGACACCAGTCCTATGTCTCCACCAGTAGAGACACCAGTCCTCTGTCTCCTCCAGTAGACACCAGTCCTCCTTCTCGTCCAGTAGAGACACCAGTCCTCTGTCTCCACCAGTAGAGACACCAGTCCTCCGTCTCCTCCAGTAGAGACACCAGTCCTATATCTACTCCAGTAGAGACACCAGTCCTCTGTCTCCTCCAGTAGAGACACCAGTCCTCTGTCTCCTCCAGTAGAGACACCAGTCCTCTGTCTCCTCCAGTAGAGACACCAGTCCTCTGTCTCCACCAGTAGAGACACCAGTCCTCTGTCTCCACCAGTAGAGACACCAGTCCTCTGTCTCCTCCAGTAGAGACACCAGTCCTCTGTCTCCTCCAGTAGAGACACCAGTCCTCTATCTCCTCCAGTAGAGACACCAGTCCTCTGTCTCCTCCAGTAGAGACACCAGTCATCTATCTCCTCCAGTAGAGACACCAGTCATCTATCTCCTCCAGTAGAGACACCAGTCCTCTATCTCCTTCAGTAGAGACACCAGTCCTCTGTCTCCTCCAGTAGAGACACCAGTCATCTATCTCCTCCAGTAGAGACACCAGTCATCTATCTCCTCCAGTAGAGACACCAGTCATCTATCTCCACCAGTAGAGACACCAGTCCTCTGTCTCCTCCAGTAGAGACACCAGTCCTCTGTCTCCACCAGTAGAGACACCAGTCCTCTGTCTCCTCCAGTAGAGACACCAGTCCTCTATCTACTCCAGAAGAGACACCAGTCCTCTGTCTCCTCCAGTAGAGACACCAGTCCTCTGTCTCCACCAGTAGAGACACCAGTCCTCTGTCTCCTCCAGTAGAGACACCAGTCCTCTGTCTCGTCCAGTAGAGACACCAGTCCTCTATCTCCTCCAGTAGAGACACCAGTCCTCTGTCTCCACCAGTAGAGACACCAGTCCTTTGTCTCCTCCAGTAGAGACATCAGTCCTCTGTCTCGTCTAGTAGAGACAACTGTCCTCTGTCTCCTTCAGTAGAGACACCAGTCCTCTATCTCCTCCAGTAGAGACACCAGTCCTCTGTCTCGTCCAGTAGAGACACCAGTCCTCTGTCTCGTCCAGTAGAGACACCTGTCCTCTATCTCCTCCAGTAGAGACACCAGTCCTCTATCTCCTCCAGTAGAGACACCAGTCCTCTGTCTCGTCCAGTAGAGACACCAGTCATCTGTCTCCACCAGTAGAGACACCAGTCCTCTGTCTCCACCAGTAGAGACACCAGTCCTCTGTCTCCTCCAGTAGAGACAACTGTCCTCTGTCTCCTCCAGTAGAGACACCAGTCCTCTATCTCCTCCAGTAGAGACACCAGTCCTCTATCTCCTCCAGTAGAGACACCAGTCCTCTGTCTCCTCCAGTAGAGACACCAGTCCTCTGTCTCGTCTAGTAGAGACACCAGTCCTCTGTCTCCACCAGTAGAGACACCAGTCCTCTGTCTCCACCAGTAGAGACACCAGTCCTCTGTCTCCTCCAGTAGAGACACCAGTCCTCTGTCTCCTCCAGTAGAGACACCAGTCCTCTGTCTCCTCCAGTAGAGACACCAGTCCTCTGTCTCCACCAGTAGAGACACCAGTCCTCCGTCTCCTCCAGTAGAGACACCAGTCCTATATCTACTCCAGTAGAGACACCAGTCCTCTGTCTCCTCCAGTAGAGACACCAGTCCTCTGTCTCCTCCAGTAGAGACACCAGTCCTCTGTCTCCTCCAGTAGAGACACCAGTCCTCTGTCTCCACCAGTAGAGACACCAGTCCTCTGTCTCCACCAGTAGAGACACCAGTCCTCTGTCTCCTCCAGTAGAGACACCAGTCCTCTGTCTCCTCCAGTAGAGACACCAGTCCTCTATCTCCTCCAGTAGAGACACCAGTCCTCTGTCTCCTCCAGTAGAGACACCAGTCATCTATCTCCTCCAGTAGAGACACCAGTCATCTATCTCCTCCAGTAGAGACACCAGTCCTCTATCTCCTTCAGTAGAGACACCAGTCCTCTGTCTCCTCCAGTAGAGACACCAGTCATCTATCTCCTCCAGTAGAGACACCAGTCATCTATCTCCTCCAGTAGAGACACCAGTCATCTATCTCCACCAGTAGAGACACCAGTCCTCTGTCTCCTCCAGTAGAGACACCAGTCCTCTGTCTCCACCAGTAGAGACACCAGTCCTCTGTCTCCTCCAGTAGAGACACCAGTCCTCTATCTACTCCAGTAGAGACACCAGTCCTCTGTCTCCTCCAGTAGAGACACCAGTCCTCTGTCTCCACCAGTAGAGACACCAGTCCTCTGTCTCCTCCAGTAGAGACACCAGTCCTCTGTCTCGTCCAGTAGAGACACCAGTCCTCTATCTCCTCCAGTAGAGACACCAGTCCTCTGTCTCCACCAGTAGAGACACCAGTCCTTTGTCTCCTCCAGTAGAGACATCAGTCCTCTGTCTCGTCTAGTAGAGACAACTGTCCTCTGTCTCCTTCAGTAGAGACACCAGTCCTCTATCTCCTCCAGTAGAGACACCAGTCCTCTGTCTCGTCCAGTAGAGACACCAGTCCTCTGTCTCGTCCAGTAGAGACACCTGTCCTCTATCTCCTCCAGTAGAGACACCAGTCCTCTATCTCCTCCAGTAGAGACACCAGTCCTCTGTCTCGTCCAGTAGAGACACCAGTCATCTGTCTCCACCAGTAGAGACACCAGTCCTCTGTCTCCACCAGTAGAGACACCAGTCCTCTGTCTCCTCCAGTAGAGACAACTGTCCTCTGTCTCCTCCAGTAGAGACACCAGTCCTCTATCTCCTCCAGTAGAGACACCAGTCCTCTATCTCCTCCAGTAGAGACACCAGTCCTCTGTCTCCTCCAGTAGAGACACCAGTCCTCTGTCTCGTCTAGTAGAGACACCAGTCCTCTGTCTCCACCAGTAGAGACACCAGTCCTCTGTCTCCACCAGTAGAGACACCAGTCCTCTGTCTCCTCCAGTAGAGACACCAGTCCTCTGTCTCCTCCAGTAGAGACACCAGTCCTCTGTCTCCTCCAGTAGAGACACCAGTCCTCTGTCTCATCCAGTAGAGACACCAGTGCTCTGTCTCTTCCAGTAGAGACACCAGTCCTCTATCTCCTCCAGTAGAGACACCAGTCCTCTGTCTCCACCAGTAGAGACACCAGTCCTTTGTCTCGTCCAGTAGAGACACCAGTCCTCTGTCTCGTCCAGTAGAGACACCAGTCCTCTATCTCCTCCAGTAGAGACACCAGTCCTCTGTCTCCACCAGTAGAGACACCAGTCCTCTGTCTCGTCCAGTAGAGACACCAGTCCTCTGTCTCGTCCAGTAGAGACACCAGTCCTCTATCTCCTCCAGTAGTGACACCAGTCCTCTATCTCCTCCAGTAGAGACACCAGTCCTCTGTCTCGTCCAGTAGAGACAACTGTCCTCTGTCTCCTCCAGTAGAGACACCAGTCCTCTATCTCCTCCAGTAGAGACACCAGTCCTCTATCTCGTCCAGTAGAGACACCAGTCCTCTATCTCCTCCAGTAGAGACACCAGTCCTCTATCTCCTCCAGTAGAGACACCAGTCCTCTGTCTCCTCCAGTAGAGACACCAGTCCTCTGTCTCGTCCAGTAGAGACACCAGTCCTCTGTCTCCACCAGTAGAGACACCAGTCCTCTGTCTCCACCAGTAGAGACACCAGTCCTCTGTCTCCACCAGTAGAGACACCAGTCCTCTGTCTCGTCCAGTAGAGACACCAGTCCTCTGTCTCCTCCTGTAGCTAAGGACCTGTGAGATGACAGTCCTCCTCAGAACCGGCTGCCTGGGCTTCACACAGGTGAAGCTACACCTGTGTAGCTGGATCTCCTCTACGTTTTGCAGAATTTGCGACCCTGTGCTGAATAGATGAAATTTTGTCAACCAACAACATTTAAAATCTTACACAGATGGACACAGAGGCGTCAACAGGGACAACAGGATGGGTTGAGTTTTAAACAGGAGAATGATAGAGGACAGATGCAGAGATGTGGCGGCTCTAACTGCTGCCTGGTAGCGGGCGAGACACTCTCTGAGCAAATCCTGGGAGAGTTGAAGATGGTCCTTCTTCCATTTGCGTTCTGCACTCCTACATCGTCTCCTCACTGCACGTGTAGTACCACTGAGCCAAGGTTCTGAGGAGTTGCAGGCACCTCAGCGTTTAAGAGGAGCAAACTTCCCAGACAGATGGAGTTGAAGATTCCCAGTGGTCGCTGGGCGACAGGGCAGAGGGGAGTTACTCCATACCACTAGGTTCTGTGATGGAGACGGCCGGTCCAGTTTAGGTGTGAGGGCACGGCGCCAGCTAGCATCTGGAGGCAGAAGATGAATTAATGACTCGCAGCGCTTTACACTAGTCTATCATTCATGTGTTCACACACATTCACACACTGGTGGTGATGAGCTACGATGTAGCCACAGCTGCCGAACACAGGCGCCACCAGTCTTTCTGTCCACCACCAGCAGGCAAGGTGGGTTAAGTACCTTGCCCAAGGACACAACGGCAGCGATGGAACCTTCTGATCACTGGACAACCCGCTCAGCCTCCTGACCTGCTGCTGCCAGCAGCCTAGGAGGCTGAATGAGACGACTGGTCATCTAACCCTAACAGAGACAGATGTGTTGATGTTTGTGTTTCATTATAGCATCTGAGCTCGTTTTGTGGCTATTATTAATCACCGATGCTGATCCGATTATTGGCTTTGTTTGTTTGTTTTGTTTGGATGAGCAGACCTAAGGGGGTTTAGGATGGAAAGCTGTTGGTTGGACTCATAATTGAAACCTTTGTCTTGAATCTTCTCCTTCTGCAGCTCCTGAGGCTCCACACATCTCCTCGGTGGACTACTCCCACGGCATCCTGTTTGTCCGCTGGACCTATGGCGAGCTCTTCATTGACCTGTCTCATTCCAGGATGCTGCACTGGCAGGTGGTGGCTGTTGGCAAGAAGGGCCCTGAGAAGAGCTACTCTGTCGATGTGAGTTCTGCTGGCTGACCGTGCTGCTGGAGCTCCGGACCTTGTCGTGTGTTTGTGATGCAGGTCTGGTTTCTGTAGGCGGACCTGACCGTAGCTGAGACCCATTCATCGTCCAACTGCTGACCTTTCTGCTGTTATTCAGCCACGTTCTGGTCCAGTTTCTCAATCTGAAGGAGGTTCTGTTCTGTCACATGTTGTGTTTTTGTGTCAGGTGACTCGTAACATGATGCGGGCGAGCCTCCCGCTGCCTCCAGGAGACATCTACAACCTGACGGTGACTGCATGCACTGAGCGCAGTCGGAACACTTCGGTACCAAACATCATCAAACTGGGTCAGCACCTTAATCTGATCTTTTATTTCTGCTTCTGGATGAATAAAGTTCTGCAGCACCTCACATGAAGCTGCAGCTTGTCCCTAACGCTAACCTGACTTGGCCCGGTCCTGTTACCGAAGGACAACGCTGCCGTGGTTCTAGTTCACAAAACAGTCTGGATACAAGTTTAACGAACGCCAAACTACGGAATCGTCCTTCTGGTAACACATCTGTTATTTATGTCATTATCGCTTACATCACAGGTGTCAAACTCCAGGCCGCCCTCCCACACTTGTTTCCCTTGTTTCAGCACACCTGAGTTCAGTTAGCAGGTGATTAACAGGCTTCTGCAGTGCTTGATGAGCTGCTGCACAGGTGAATCGATGATGTTGGAACACGGAAACAACAAAACGATGCAGGAACCGGCCCTCGAGGACGACGTTGACACGGCTGCATTAGTTGTTTTACTTCATTCAATTGAAAGATACTTTACTAATCCCAGAGGGAAATTAGAGTTTCAGTACACACAGTTCAGAGATCAGACATACATGGGCAAGACACACGACAAGAATTGGTGACTGTGGTCATTCGCAACCCTGAGTCGCGTTACCTTAATAGAGATATGAGGGTTACATGAGGATTGGTTCAAGTGGAGGGAAAAAACGTCACTTCAGAGTTACCCTCCACAGGGAGGGCAGCTTTGCTCTGCAAAAAAACACCTCAGACAGATATGCAACAGACTTCAGACAACACAAGTGTCCACTAGGTGTGGTGGTGGGTTGGGACTATCCCAGCTTCAGTTCCTGCAGCCACGATAAGCAGCGCATATCACCTCAGTCTGAACGGGGTGGGGCGGGGTCGTTGAGGTTTGGAGTGTGCAGTGACCCCTGGAACGATTCTTCGGCTTTCACAGCCCGAAGTCCCGCCCAGGCTGGGAATGGAGACAGAGTTGAGTTGCCATAGCGATGACCCATTCCACATGTCTTCTGAGGGGGGAGTTTTCGTTGGAGCCTTGCAGGCTCAAGGGCTCCAGATTCTGATTAGAAATTGTTTTGGGGCCAGACAGAGATAATTTCCTCTCTGTCTTACAGTTTGTTGGTCCTCAGCCTCTCAGAATCCCAATAATGGACATTAATCTATCCCAATCCAATCCACTCTCTCCTTGATAGCATCCATCATTTGTGCCAAGAATGAATCTCGGCCAAAGTTCCAAGCTTACAATTCATCTCGACAATTATGTGAGTCTGTGAATTCACAGCGCGGTGCAATCCAACTCTGAGCTCCGGGATCCGGCCAATATTCCTCGACAGCTCATTAATTTTCCGGTAAGCCAGGTAGCCTCCAAGGCCAATGAGCAGGAAACCTGACACCAACACCACAAATATCCACACGTCTTCAGAGTCCTCCACAGACAGCTGAGTTAAACACATCAAGTTCCACTGTTTCCAGGAGTCCATGATGTGTCCAACTGGGTCTGACCCGGCGGGGCATTTGGGAGCCCCTTCTCCCGTTCTCATCGTAGAAAACATTTTATCAGTTAAGTTGAGAGACCAACTGACGAGATCCATTTTAGTAATTTCAGTTTTCAGTTTCCAGAAAAATGCAGAAGCAGCCGTGCACCCAGCACCCAGACAGACAAAAGGCCTTGAGGATAGGATATGGAGGAGAGGAGGAAAAAAAGCGCCTGCACTCCCCAAGAGCCGGAAGAAATTGTTGTATGATTTTCATCCCTGATAAATAAAAATCCCCGTCTCACCCTCCACGGACAGTCTCATCCTTCCAAGCTCCACCAGAGACCTGGGAGCTTGAGGGTTCAGCAGTAATTTAGCTGTTCCTGGGTTAGTGCCCCGATGACCACGGGCACCACCGATGGCTTCACCCTCCAGACTTTCTCAAGTTCTTCTCTGAGGTTCTGGAACTTCTAGTTTCTCGTGTTCCTTTTCCTGATGTTGCATCACCTGGTATCGCCACATCAGCCACAACATCTGTCCTCTGTTGTTTGTCCACCACCACAACGTCCGGTTGGTTCTCCACCACCACGTTGTCAGTCTGCATCTGGAAGTCCCACAGGAGCTCGGCTCTCTCGTTCTCTACCACCTTAGGGGGCGTTACCCACTGTGAGCTTGGGGCTTCCGGTTCCATACTCTCCACAGATGTTTCTGTACACAATACCAGCCACTTGGTTGTGGTATGGATGCGTTCCCTGCCAGCACCTTACACCTGCAGTTATGAGGTGGATTGTCTCAGGGGCCTCTCTGCATGGCCTACACCTTGGGTCTAGTCTGGTGTAGTAGATCATGACCTCTGGTGTTCAGGGCCTGTTCCTGTGCAGCCACGATGAGGACCTCTGTGCTGTCCTGCAGACCAGCTCCTTTAGGCTGTTGGTAGGATTTCTTGATATCAGCTACTTGACTTTTCTGTTGGCGGTACATCCTATGTAGGGTTTGTCCTCCCACGATGGTATTTCCAGCATCTCTTCCTCTGTTCAACATTGTCTGAGACAATCACTGAGCACGTCATCTGTTGGGGCCTTGTCCTTCATGTACTTGTGGATCTTGGATGTTTCATCCTGGACAGAGGCTCTCACACTCACTAGTCCTCTGCCTTCTTCCTTATGGCTAGTGCACAGTCTCAGGGTGCTGATTTGGGATGGAACCCTCCTTGCATGGTTAGGAGCTTCCGTTTCATAACATATTTCTATATTTCTTTATTTCTTCCTTTGACCAGCTTATTGTTCCTGCCGGATATTTGAGCTGACTTCTTAGGAATTGCTTTACTCGTAGGCATTTAGCTGTGGCTCCATATATATATATATTTTTTTTTTATCTATTTTTCCTACCCATTTTGGTGCCAACCTTGTGATGCAACCCCGGGCAACCGCCCAGGTCTCCCATGTCAGAAACTACTACTGCTACAGAGTCTGGGACTTTGATTTCCAAAGGAAGTGCACCTTTTTCTTTCATTTGAGAACATAACTTTGGACCACTCAGCAGCAGTCTGGTCCTTTTTGTCTTTAGACCTGGCGAGACATTTCTGATGCTATCTCTTGTGAAGAGTGGCTTGACACAAGGAATGCGACAGCTGAAACCATGTCCTGCATACGTCTGAGCGTGGTGGTTCTTGAAGCACTGACTCTAGCTGCAGTCCACTCTTTGTGAACCTCCTCCACATTTCTGAATGGGTTTCATTTGACCATCCTCTCCAGGGTGTGGTTATCCTTATTGCTTGTACACATTTTTCTACCACACCTTGTCCTTCCCTTCGCTTCTCTGTGAACAGCCAGCCTCTTTAGCAATGACCTGTGGTGTCTTGCCCTTTTTTGCATTGGTATAAAGAAGCATTTATTCAACGAAAAGCAATACAAAACTAGCATATTTCTGTTTTACAAGAGCTGAACTGAACTTGTATTCACTGTTGCTCGTGAGTTTTTTAGACATGCTAAAATATTTCCTTTATAAAGTAAGCGTATCTGTAACTACATTAGTTCTAGAAAGCCAATACGCCACATAAGCAGATTCTCTGGCCAACATGTACAATTCTTCTATTTGTTAATTCAATAAAATTGGTAGAAGTAACTCATTTTTCTTTATTTCAACCTTTAACTAATACATTTAGTCACACTTTAGACGATTTGATTGGGTGACATTTAGCATTAGAAAGAATCAGTTTTTTCAGTGCAGCACCTGTGTGTATGGGCTGTTGGTTAACCCTAACCTATTCAATCTGATTAATAATCCCTGAACGATTGAAAAGCTTTTATTGTGTAAAATAAGAGCACGTCTCCCTCAGACACATGCTTAGAGGAACTAAAACATCTACAGCCCTTCTTCTGACTTGACTTTTCTCTGAAAGTGGACAGTAAACTGGATGGGCACTTCCTGTTCCAGACGCGTTGAGGGTTTTCAACCCTAAGAGGAAGTACTCTGACTCAGACCTCCTGCTGTAAACAGCTTTGTCTCTGCTGCAGATCCAGCACCTCCCAAGTCCCTGTTTGCCGTCAACGCCACTCACTCGTCCGTCACCTTGCTGTGGTCCGAGGACGGGGTGGTGGACTACTACCAGGTCCTCTGCCGACCCAACAAGTCCTTCAAGGGGCTGAAGGTAAAACCACCTCGTCATCACACTTGGAGTCCACTGGAGAGGTGAAGGAGAAGGTCAGGAGTTTTCAGACTGATTTGTCGGGTTCAGATTTCCTCTAAAGACACAAAAACTAATCCTGTTTATTAGCTGTTAATCAGAATAAAACAGGCTTTATTTGACTAATTGAGCGTGGAACCGGACAGATTAGGACAACCTTAATGTTTAGATTAAAGCTGCACCGAGTCGGATTGGTTCTGTTACAACGAGAACCGGCAGTCGGGTTCCTTTTGGGCTTGCTGGGAAACAACCCGAGTCCGTTTGTCTGGTTGGAGATCAAATGAAACACTAAACTTCATCGTAGATAAAAGACCTGGGATGAGTTTCGGGTCTCTGCAGGACCAGATGGGTGGTAGAGACGAGACTTTTGTTTGGATTATTTAATAAGATCAGCGTTTTGCTCTGACTGCTGGGGATTGGACCTGTTGTGTGGCTATGAACATGCTCTGAGGTTCTGAGTCCAGTCAGAACCAGATGCTGCTTGTTTCTGGGCCGTATGCTAATTATGATCACCTCTGTCCTCCTCCAGGCCTGTGAGCCAATCACCTCCACCTCCCACATGCTAACCGTTTCTGGTTTGGCTCCATCATCTAGCTACAACTGCACGGTCACCAGCTTCAGCTACAGCACGCCGAGCCGACCCGCCCACATCACCGTCAGCACCGCTGGTGGGTGGCTCTACTTTCTGTTGACATGGTGGAGTTTTTCTTTCTTCTGAAGTGCTCATGAGCTCGGTATGGTAAAGGCAGCAGAACTTAAGTCCTGTTGGTGTGACCGGCGGCTAAAGTGACCACTTCCTGTAACTGTTGCTTGTCTGATGGGCTCGACGTGGATTTACTGGATTCTGTTTGACTTTGTTTCCCCATTTAAACGTGTTTTTTATGACGTGTGTGTATGTGTGTGTGTGTGTGTGTGTGTGTGTGTGTGTGTGTGTGTGTGTGTGTGTGTGTGTGTGTGTGTGTGTGTGTGTGTGTGTGTGTGTGTGTGTGTGTGTGTGTGTGTGCGTGCGTGCGTGCGTGTGCGTGTGTGTGTGCAGCCAAAGAGATGAAACCGAGTGTCGCTGCCATCTCGGCGCTGGCAGTCCTCAGTGTCCTGCTCATCAGCCTGCTGGTTCTCTTCCTGCTGGTCCTTCGGAAGAAGCACCTGCAGATGACCAGGTGATCACTGAACACACCTCACCCTCACACCACACCTCCAGACCGCGCAGGTAACTTCACCTGGTAAAGGCTGAGAGAGAGAGAGAGAGACGTTTTCCACCTTAATGACCTTTAATCATTCATCTGAAAGTTCTAATAAACATATTTAACTTTTTCTGTCATTTACTTCCTCATTTTTCTGCAAACTCATCATATAATTTTGACTTCCCCACTCTGTGTGTGTGTGTGTGTGTGTGTGTGTGTGTGTGTGTGTGTGTGTGTGTGTGTGTGTGTGTGTGTGTGTGTGTGTGTGTGTGTGTGTTCGTGCGTGTGTGTGTGTGTGTCCGTGCGCGTGCGTGCGTGCGTGTGTGTGTGTGTGTGTGTGTTTGTTTCAGGGAATGCGGCTCTGAGACTTTTGTGAACTTGGCTTCGTTTGAACGTGACGGGAAGCTTCCCTACAACTGGTACGCTGCTGCTCTTCTTCCTTCATGCTCTTACCACACTGATCAGACAGCCCATCAGTAGGATTGGTCTGGAGTTGGAGGGTTGCAGGTTTGAGCCCAGGTTCCTGCAGCTGAGATGTTCCACTGAAAGACCTGGTCCGACCCCCCATGAGAGAACCGTTTAGCATGAAGGCCGGACTCCTCGCTGAAGTTCCACCTCCGTGTTTTTGTTGTAAAGGTCCGTTTCTTCTGTTTGGGCCGAGCAGAAGCAGGAAAGTTTAAGAGGCGTTGACGACGAGTTCCTTTTCTCAGACGGTTAGAAAAGGCTTATTTCACTTAAGATGTGCCGTAAATATGATGTAACATCCATGAGTTCAGACCCTGATATTAATAAGTGACGTAACTGATAATAAATCATTATTACATCATTTGGTGCATTTAAGGTCTGAACTAAAGCATTTCCAGAGTAAAGTTAAGTTGATTCATTCATTACTGCAAAGCAGTCGAGGCATTATTAAAGCACTTCAGACCAAACGTCCGTCATATAATGTAACTAACCTTAAAGAAATGGCCAGAGTACCGCATTTGCAACGTCAGAGTGCCAGTCCAGTCTGTTGGACTTTTATCCGACTGACATACCCGCCGCTGCAGTCTGCTTCCTGCATGTTTTAGATCATGAACACAGCTGATTTGTTTGATGTGGTGATCAACTGCCCCTCTAGAGGAAACATTTCAGCTATGAGATTAAAGCCTAATATATACATCTTCGTCAGCTCCGTGAGGGAGGGACACGCCACGACGGAGGCGTTTTGATCTGAGACGTCTCCGTCAGCTGGGGACTGTTGCAACACAATTCCCCGCCGGGACAACAGAGGGCGTGGCGCCATTCTGACGTATCCTGCCACCATTACAGGCACGCATCCGGTCCTGTTGTGTTCACATTGTTTTGACGTATGTCAGAGACATTTGCACATGGACAAACGTGTCCCTCGTTCTCCTCCTCCTCATCATACGATCACAAAGGCACCCTCTGCAACCCATCGGACAGCCCTTGTGCCGACGCATGACGGCGTCGTGTGTCTCCGTTCCGACGCAGACGTGTAAATTAGGATTAAGGTGTTAAAAGACGAACGCACAGCGAGGTTCTGCTTTCGGTTCCACCACAGATCATTAGTTACTGTCACTTGGGGGCGCTAAAAGCAAGCACGGCTGCCAGGTGTGCCTTTAAAATAGAAATTACCTGTTGGCTGTTATTTGTTCTGTGGGATGGTGGTAATTTGCCTGAGGGATGTTCCCGTGTTCCCAGCTGCAGATTTGGGATTAATATAAGAGCTAAAAGACGTCAGTGAAGGCAGCGTGTTGCTTCCATCATATCCGACCCCCATCACTAAACCTGTCGTCTCTTATTGTGGCAGCTATGTTGCAGCTTTCACTGTGCATGCGGCGGGGGGTGGGTGGGGGGGATGGGGGTGACCTCACTGATGAGGGAGGGCCAGCATTTAGGACAACTCTGTTCTTCAGCGATTTCCTTTCTGCCCATATTGGAAACTTGTTTAGTTTCATTTTATGTGGTTGGGTTAGGGTTACGGTTTAAATCAAAGAAAGAGCTGACGTGGGTAACCGAGGCAGCAGCGGCTCTAAACACGTTTCCATCTAAACGTTCATTTCAGTTTGAACATTTCATGTCTCAAAACGTCTTTGGGATTAAAAGTAAACTTTATTAAAAACTACAGTAAAACTGTTGTGGTAGTAGTCCGTATGTTTATGTTTATGTATTTAGCAGGCGCTTTTGTCCAAATCGACTTACAAGTGATAATCGGCATGTTGCCCTTGAGGCTAACAACAACAATTGGGCATCAGTCATGGAGAGGAGGGAACAAGGAGTGGACAGTCGAGAGGGGGACGGGTGCAGGGAGGGTGCTAGTTAAGATGATGCTCTCTGAAGAGCAGGGTCTTCAGGAGTTTCTTGAAAATTGAAAAGGAAGCCCCTGTTCTGGTAGTGCTTGGTAGGTCATTCCACATTTGTGGAACGATGCATGAGAAAAGTCTGGATTGTCCTGAGCGTGGTGTAGGCACTGCCAGCCGACGATCCTGTGATGACCGGAGCGGCCGGGCCGAGACGTAAGCCTTTGCAAGAGGATTCAGGTAGATGGGAGCCGTACCATCTCGGACTTTGTATGCTAGTGTTATCTATTTGAATTTGATGCGTGCTGCTAGCGGTAGCCAGTGGAGCTCAATGAACAGAGGGGTGACGTGTGCTCTTTTTGCCTGATTGAAGACCAGACGCGCCGCTGCGTTCTGGACCATTTGAAGAGGTCTCACAGTACAGCCTGGAAGACCAGTTAGAAGGACATTGCAGTAATCGAGGCGGGAGATGACAGTAGATTGCACCAGGAGCTGGGTGGCATGTTGTGTTAGGTATGGTCTGATCTTTCGTATGTTATACAGCGCAAAGCAGCATGAACGAGCAACAGAGGCAACATGATCTTTAAAGGTCAGGTGTTCATCAATCACAACACCCAGAACTGCCTTGAAGGAGCGAGAGATAGGAAGTCAATTTGGATTGAGATATTGTGCTGTATGGATGGTTTTGCTGGGATGACAAGCAGTTCAGTTTTAGAGAGGTTGAGTTGGAGATAGTGGGATTTCATCCATTTTGATATGTCAGAGAGACGGTTTGATATTCGTGCAGAGACCGTGTGGTTGTCCGGTGGAAATGACAGATAGAGCTGGGTGTCGTCTGCATAGCAGTGGTAGGAGAAGCCATGTGATCGAATGATCTCACCCAGTGAGGTGGTGTAAATGGCTAAGAGATGAGGTCCTAGTACAGAGCCCTGAGGGACTCCTGTGGCAAGATGGTGCACGGTAGAGGATTGTCCAAGCCACGATACACTGAATGATCGTCCTGTGAGGTACGATTCAAGGCGTGTGCTTTCTCTGTGATGCCCATGCTAGAGAGTGTGGACAAAAGGAAGCCATGGTTGGCAGTGTCAAATACAGCCCATAAGTCGAGCAGGATAAGCACTGAGGATTTGGCAGTCGCTCTAGCTTCTTTTAAGGATTCCGTCACTGCTAACAGAGCAGTTTCAGTGATTGAACCCAGATTAGTAAGGGTCAAGCAGACAGTTTTGTGAGAGATATTCTGTGATCTGCTTGAAAGCCACCCTTTCAATGATTTTGGACAGAAAAGGGAGGAGAGAGATAGGTCGGTAGTTCTCCACATGATTTGGAGGAAGAGATGGGGTTTTTTTTTAGCAGCGGTTTAACCTGAGCATGCTTGAGAGAGGTGGGAAATGTACCGGATGTCAGTGAAGTGTTGATCATGTGTGACTGCTGTGGCTACTGTAGGAGCAATAGCTTGGAGCAGCTTAGTCGGAATGGGATCAAGTGGGCATGTAGTAGGGCGGCTGCACGTGAGAAGCTTGGACACACAGTTCTCAGTGAGAGGGGAAAAGAGGAAAATGAAGCAGTAATGCTTGAGATGGTTGAGCTAGAAGGAGTTTGTGGTAGTGAATGTTCAGGAGTGGCCAGTTGAGTAAACTGTTTGCTTATAGCTGCCACTTTGTCAGTGAAGAATGAGGCAAAGGTGTTAGCTGATAGATTGTTGGTAGGAGGTGGAGACGGAGCGTTGAGCAGAGTTTTGAATGTTGAAAATAGTTTCTGAGAGTCGGTAGAGCTGAGAATTTTGTCAGTGTAGAAAGCTTTCTTTGCATCAGTGATGCTGGCAGAGAATGAGGACAGTAATTCCTGAAATTTCAATAGATCACCAGGATCTCTTGTTTTGCGCCATTTCCATTCCGCAGCTCTAGGATTGGTGCATAGAGACCGGAGGGTATCATTTAGCCAAGAGTGCGACTGAGAGGATCTAGCAGGTCTAGTGGCTAAAGGGCACAAGTTGTTAAGACAAGAGCAGGGTGTGGAGCAGAGTGACTCGGTGGCTTCATTCACTTCATAAGCAGAGAATGTGCTGGGAGATGGAAGAGTGGAGGCAACAAGAGAGGAGAAGTGGTTGGGTGCCAGATTACGAAGGTTGCGGCGGAATGAGACCATTGGGGAGGAAGTAGTGGACCTCCCTAGTAGAGTCGTGCTGAAACGGATGAAGTAATGATCGGAAAGATGCAGCGGTGTGACAGATTGTGTCTATGGCACAGTTTCTGGTGAAAATGAGGTCAACTGCTTTTCCAGCTTTGTGAGTTGGAGGACTTTGTACTAGTTTTAGATCAAATGATGACATTAGTGACAGGAAGCCTGATGAGCTGGGATTGTCCAGGTGAATATTCATGTCTCCAAGGACCATTGTGGAACAGTCGTGCTCAGGAATGGAGAAGAGCAGGGTGTCGAGTTCATCAAGAAAGTCTCCGAGTTGACCTGGTTGACGATATATGACAACCAAAAAGATTTTTTTTTCGGTACAGTTACCTGGATGGCGTGGTATTCAAAGGAGTTGTATTTAGTGATGGGTAGCAACTGACTGTGTATCCATTTGTTGGAAATTAACATGCCCGTTCCACCACCTTGGCCAGATGCACGAGAAGTGTGGGAGAAAGTGTGGTTAACTAAGAGAGCAGATGGGGTAGCATTGTCACATGGTTTGATCCAGGTCTCAGTGAGAGCCAGTGCATCGAGCGACAGGTGGTTTGCATATGCAGTAATGAAGTCTGCTTTGTTTACAGCTGAGTGGCAGTTCCACAGTTCCACAGACAGGTGAATGTCTTCGGGGGGAGTTGGTTTTAGCGAGCGAAGGTTTTGAAGGTTGCGAAAGCGGTTTGCTGTGTGTGACAGTAAAACTGTTGTGGTAGTACGTCAGTAAAACTGTTGTGGTAGTATGTCAGTAAAACTGTTGTGGTAGTATGTCAGTAAAACTGTTGTGGTAGTAGTCAGTAAAACTGTTGTGGTAGTACGTCAGTAAAACTGTTGTGGTAGTAGTCAGTAAAACTGTTGTGGTAGTATGTCAGTAAAACTGTTGTGGTAGTATGTCAATAAAACTGTTGTGGTAGTAGTCAGTAAAACTGTTGTGGTAG